GCCCAGGCCCTGGACAGGGTGCGTGCAGGAGGCAACCAATCGATGTGTTTCTCTCACATCCACGTTTCTCTCTGTCTTTCCCTCTCTCTTCCATTCTCTCTAAAAGATCAATGGAAAAATATCTTCGGGTGAGGATTAACAAAAATAAATAAATAAATAAATAAGAGAAGCTGTACCTTTAAAGCTGTGAGTACCACTCGTTTTCACACTAGATGAAGTATGTGAAGGGTACTCAGCTGTGTTTGTTAGGGCTGGAGGAAAATTCCAGGTAGCCAGGCAGGTGAAGAATGCGCTAGAAGGAGGGCATCTGGATGGAGCAGGGCCCAATGCAGGGAGAGATGAAGAAATAAAACTCAGTGGTAAGCAAAGGGGGAACAAGGGTGGGGGGGATGACACCATGCCAGAGGTACATAAACTATCACTTTTGTAAGACTTGATATGAAAGGGCAAGTCCATAAAGAAACTCACGAGTATCTAACGCTTGTGCATGCCCCCTTCCCAACAACAGGCTGGGCATGCCCCAGAAGAAAGGTAAGAAGCAGATACATCCACGAGGACTCACTCATTCGATTTATTCCAAGGTGTCTCCTCTTGAAAGAGACCATTTTGATCAGTTCTCGCTCCCTCCTCTGAGGCTAAGACCTGGTGAGAGAGCAGTGACGGAAATGCCCTAATTATTGCTCCTCCTGGGCTGTCAAGGCCACCAGTGCTGCCCGTACCTCTTCTGCCTGCGCTGGGGGCAGCAGACAGTCCTGAATGAGGGCTAGCGCGGCCGCCTCATTCAGGCTGCTGAAGTCCTGGGGCGTTTTCACAGGGAGGTGCCCGGCCAGCTCACAAAGGGCAACATTGAACGCCTCACGCTCCTTTACCCCAAAGCTGGACTTCCGGGGCCAGAGGATTACCCGGACCCCTGTGAGGGTTGAGGAAAAGGAAGTCTTTCCAGGTGGTGCCCCCCGGGTCACAAACAGGTTGTGTGCAATCTCACGGGCAGTCAGATAGTCGGTGGCGCGACACACCCTGCTTATCAAGGCTTCTAAGTCTGGGCCTGGCCCGCGGGTGTAAAAGAGGAAGCCGGGAGCTGGGACAGCCTGCAGCAGGTGCAAACGGCCCCCAGGGTCCAGGGGCTCACTTGGTGCCCCCTCCACGGGCAGCCTGTGGGGCAGGTAATAGCCGTGCAGGTGGAGGTGGTTCACGGAGGCCAAGCCGCCCAGGCTGTTGAAGCCGACCCGAAAGCCCGGGTGTGAGCTCAGCAGCACGGCCTCCAGCCCGGCCCGGAGTGCTCCCG